TCACACACACCAATCTACACTACAGAAAATTGAAACACTGAATTATTTTGTAGGACATACCAAATAATGGTTACCTTATATAACTCAGTTTCTAGCAAGCATCCTACTTTTAGCCATATATATCTAATAAAACAATGCAGAGTGCTAGGGTATCCATAGAGTATGTTTAAACAAAAAGGGCAGAATTTTGATCTCACCATTGCAAACATTGTTTTGACTTTTTTAAATAAAATCACACTTTCTGAAAAACTCCTGTAACATACACTGCAACCACAAGAGTGCCAAGGTAATACATCTCTGCAAGACTTTCAAGTAGCCCTGCCATTCTTCAGAACTGTAAAAAAACACATTTTTGAAACTAATTCCAATGATGGTGGCTCTCTATTATTTCATAATAATAGACTTTATGCAAGATAATTGTGTTTATTTAAATGTTAAAAACTCAGAAAAACCTTTGATGGACTTAAATCTGGATCTCCCTGGTTTTATTTTACTATACAACCCTGGCTCTTTTTTTTTTGACCCATGGGGCATGTATGTTGAAGCTAGCTGTTGGATGAACGTTGAAGAGTTCATTCATGGTACAAAAGAACCCTTATTTGGCATGCATCTAACATATTTGATTATGGAATAAGTTCTGGATCTATTTATTTTTCCAGGTATTGAAATGGGTAGAAGAAGCAGTGCAAGCCTCCAAAGTTCATCTATTGTCTACGGACCGTTTGACTTCAGGAAGAAGCTTTTGGCAGATCCCTTTTGATCCTAGCCTGAAAGAAGTTACAGTGTCCCTAAGTGGCCCTTCTCCAGAAATTGGAATTCATAACCCTTTGGGTGAGACATTAGTCTATTTCTTTTTATGATGGTTTATGAAGTATATTTGATTGGCCTTTACCATTGGATGGCTCTGACTCAACTTCCTGAAGCATTTTATGGGATGGGACTTAAAGAGTGCTATCTTCTTCTTTGCAAATATATCTCTCCTACTTTAAAAAAATGTCCCTGAGATTAAAGCATAAGAACATAAGAATGGTAGGATACCAGAATGGCAAATCCAAAATTAATGAAGACTGGAACATTGGAAGGGAGATCAAGGATCTTTAAAAGTAGAAATGACAGTAAAGTGGGCAAGCATTCTCAATGGTTTAAATATGACTTGGACATGTTTTAGGCATTTTGAGNGCTAGGTTGGCAGAAGCTGGGACAAGTAACGGGCGCTCACTCCAATATACGGCGCCAGGGATTCAAACTGCTGAACTGCTGACCTTTCTGATTGACAAGCTCAGTGTCTTAGCCACTGAGCCACCGCATCCCTTTGATTGCGTGTTATGCTGTTGAAATAAACTCTGCCTCTGCTTTAAGCAACTTGTCTTGTATGTTCTATGGCAGGGGGTCAAACTCACCTCACCCGAGGGCCATCACATGACGTATCAGGACTTTCCCCCCTTCGCTAAACCGGGTGGGGGCAGGGCCAGCATGTGACCCATGCGGCCCATGGCCCACGAGTTTGACACCCCTGTTCTATGGGAAAAGATCTAGATTCAAAGCCAGGATTTTCTTCCAACTTCTGCCTTCACACTTTTGACGACTTAATCGAATATGCCAAAACTGAATGCAAGTTTAGGATGGCTTCCCATCAAAATAAAGCAATATATTTAAATAAAACATTGTTTGACTGCATCTACATATTTTTCGCTTTGTGTCCCAGTCCTTTAGATTTAGGAATAAAAGTTAAATATTTTCCATTAGAATAGAAAATAGAAAAAGCAAACAGCAGTTATGATTGTGACTTGATTCATTGCTGCTGATGTTGACTGATTTACCAACTGGCTATAAAAATCCTTAAGTTTGTCGGATGAAATGGGTTCTCTTGTGTTGCTAATATAAATGCATTCTTATTTCTCCCCTGCACTCTTTAATTCTGTATATTGAATGTACTGTAAATGCAGCCTATTTATGAGAGTGGGGGGGGGGGAATCTACAAAACTTGTCACAGACTTTTAAATTGAAAGCATATGTCAAATTACAATCAAATGTCATAATTTTGTATTGCATATTTGTCTAAGCAATAATTGACCACAGACCACTTAAATTTTAGGCTTTCGGTCTTGTTTTTCATTAAAATTCCCTTCTCCAGCTCCATATTACCTCATTCCCTGTCTCACTGCAGATTGAACATCACACAAATGCTTTCTGCATTTCCAAGAGCGAAGAATTGCTCCTTCCACCCTATTCTTCAGCCTATGATGCTTTTCCTAGTGCCTTTTTTTGTAAAAACAAACAGTGATAGAAGTTTAATGAGAAAGCTCCATTTCACGACCAGCTTATTTGTCATTTTTAAGAGCAGCAACCGCTTGATGGAAGGAATTCACATTTTTGGAGTCCGATCAGTTAACGTGATTTATGCAAGAATCCATGTTTCACATCGCCTGGAACATTAGCTTGAATCAATATGAGTCGCACTACTATTGGCTCTGAGTGCACTTCCTTTGCTTTGGATCTTAAAGTGGCAAAGTAAACTTGGACATATGGTATAATTGATTATAATGTTTCCTCTTTTAATAGCTTCTAGCAGCTTTGGAATATTGAGTTTTCCTGGACAGATTCTGTTAGTTTCAGATATACACACACCAGTTTCTGAAATTGCTTTCAGGTGTAAATCATGTAAATGTATTTTGTATGTCTGTGATTTCTGCTTGAACACTCAGGTTTTTATGCTAAAGAAGGGTAAGAAAAGGTTACACTAAGGTTTTATAAATGTGTATTTGCACTTATTTCC